ACTTGACAAAACCATTATGCTGTTACAAGGCTTTGTACCGAAAAACTTGATAAATAGTAAAACATAAATAAAATCTCATTTGAAAAGCAGGATAATAGTTCCTGTCTGTCTTAAAGCCAGATTTAGCAGATGCGGGTTTGAATGTAAAACAGTTGTGAAAATAGCCAGTGTCAAACTAGTGCAAAATTAAACTTGTGGGGTGTTCTGTTTTCAGTGTCTGTTATTGTTGAAGTACTCCATTTCAAAAGCATGCATTCCTTCCTACAGAAAAAAAATCTGATTCCTTAGTTGAAATTAATTAGCATTCAGAAACCAGATAGCATGTTTTTGGGTATTCATGAGATCTCTGTTTGAAAAAATGTTTTTAACTTGTAGAAATGTGTTGCAACACACAGATGGGAAGAAAAAGGAAAAAAAAAATCTCTTTAGCAAGCACTGTGTGTAAAAGGAATATTACATTTTGCACGCTCCTGATTACCCTGTGTAAACAGTTTTTGACATCTGTCTTTATAGTTTTCGAGGAGAGGAAGACTTTGTTAAAAGAACCATTTTTATACAGCAGTCACCATTTCAGTCTTGCTTTACCTGTATTATGAAAGCAGATGGTCTGCATGTCTTTTGAATATTTATAACTATCAAAAACAATCTCTTGCTATTCACCCTTAGGCTTATGAGATGTCAGGACTGTTCTGGTTGAAAAAAAATCATCTTGGGTGTTTACAGAAAGAGGATTACATTAAGCTGAAATGACTATACATTTTCTAGTTTAATATTTGTCCATCAGCTGTTTAATCGTATTTAGATAATTGTGTAAATAAGTTGTTGCAGCCCTTGCCCCTTCCACCGAGCAGGCTTGAAGCTTTAAACACTGATGAATGAGTTGCAAAAAAGCTTGGATTTTTTTTTTTCCTAGTTAAACAACCTGGAAGGCCGAAATAAGTTTTGGTTACAATGCTCCTTTTGAGGGAAATGTTTCATTTGCGAAGGAATCCCCAATATCTAATTCAGCCAAGTTGTTTTAGGAAGCTGCTGTGTCTGATACTCTCTGCTAAGTCTGTTAGCATGTATTTGTTCTGTGTAAATACTGCAGCCCAACTACCCCTTCATGAGGCATGAAAACAACCTCATTCTGCCCATATAAAAATAATTTTAAGGTTATTTAGGGGAAGTTTTGGGACTGTGGGGGTTAAAAGCTTTTTTGACTGGAAGCTGAGCAATCACTGATAACAGATTTTGCTGTGGTTGGTTGATTTGGCAGAAAAGCATGAACAGTTTTGGTTTAGATGATTGAATTAACCTGATTAACATTGTTTTTGTTGTTTTGCAAAAAGGACAACAGTATACTTTTAGCGATGATCGAACAATACTTCACCTGGTTGGAGAGCAGTGTTAGAAGCCAATGACTCAGAAATGTCTCCCTTGTAGCACCTGCACCAGTGGCTGCAGCGCCCAGCCAGCACGAAAGGCTCGGGTCCTTTCCGCGTCTTGCAGGACGCACCTTGCGTTAGATTCTGGCACAATACGAAAGGTGTCTGATGCTACCATTTTATCAGGTTTTATTTGATGGACATATGAAAAGAGTTCTCGTTGAGATTGAAGATATTTCCCCAGGGAGTTCCCCAACTTCTTTGAGAAATGATGATGTTTGGTTTTCAAGTCTCTGGTATTTAATCTTCCTGAAAGAGTGGGATTTAGTTCAAACTACGCTGGGTGAACCTCAGCTGAACTTCAGAACGAATTCTACCCCTACCTCCACACAGTCGTTGGATGCCTAATTATAATTAACTTATTTGGCTAAAAAAAGAGCACTTGGGCTGCAGCAGATGGTATCATTCCAGAATAGTGGGATTTCTGTGAAGGTGGCACCATTTCAGATGAGATCTCCTGATTCTCCAAACAGGACTGCAAGTGATGTGGTTGGGGGCAGGGAGGGATGGAGAGAGGGGAAAGAGGGAAATTTGGGGATCTTGAAGTCTCACAGCTTACTTTCAAGGATAAACTTCTAGCAGATACGTTAAGACTGCGGATCTGTGACCAGTTTTTGCGTTCTATCGATTTTCTTTGCGACACGTGAAAAAGAAATGAGATTACGAGTGATGAATGTGATGCATTTGAACATTTGTATGATATATTTATATTCGTCATCCTTGTACGTGGAAAGCGTCTGCCTCTGTGCCTCACGGATAAGGAATGCCTATGCACAGTAGTACCCGAATATGATGTATTTCAAATACAATCATTTTCATTTTGATTATTGATAAGTATAAGCCAAGACATGGGGAGCTCCTCATGTGTAATGACCCGGGAAATAAGAAAAACTTCAATACACCTCCAGTCGAGATCATGGATCTCTGAAGACCACTAGCTTATAGGGTTAATCTTCAATTTTAGGCCCTAAGCATAGTGGGCATTCGTATATCTAGATTGCCATTAAAATGTGTGGGAATTCTACAGCAATAGGAATTATATAGGAATTTCTATAGCAAAGTGCATCTCTCTGCACTGACATGACTGCAGGTTTGATGACAACATAATAAATAAAGCATAGAAACAATGAAATTCAATGTTGTCAAGTTATTTTCTGAGTTAACAAGGTAGTAATATTTTATCTGGCTTGTAAAATTTTGCCTTCAGTGAATTAGTAAATAAATCATTGATTCCTCCTGATGAGGATTCTTAGCGTAGGTAATATCACTTGAATGTTTGCATGAAGTGTTCTCGAAGAAAAAGCAGGATAATTTTCATTTTAAAACATGTTGATAATGTCTGTGGTTTGTTTTTTTTTTTTTTTTATCTACCTTGAAGAGCTGGAGTAAAATCCCAATATTAGCCATCAGAGCCTGAAATTCACATTGTGTCAAAGAAGGTAAAATTCCTAGCTGTGTTATTTAAACAGACCAGTCCCCTATTTGGTTGTAAAATAAAGTAACCACATTAAATTTATTCCTGAAGAAGCATGGGATGTCACAAACTGCCATGTCATTGGCATATCGTCTTTTTAAAATGACATGGAAGGAAGGACTAGGAAATCCTTGACAAGTATTTTCATCAACAGTAGGTAATTTACTAAAATTATTATTAATATACATGTTTTCATACTTACTAAAGTTATTTGGGCAAGAGAAGACATCTGAAAAGGGCAAAGTAAAATGAGAGAAAATCATCTTGAAGTCTAAATGACATCCACAAAATATGCACAAGTTAATATGGGTTGTTGACCCATTACATGTGCAGTTCCCTATTTTGCACATGCAGATCTGCAGGTTTTGCATGTACAGTAACGGTGCATTCATATAATTTACCATTTCAGATTCAAAGGACTTTTTAAATCACACCTTATGTATCATGTGTCCACGTTTAAAATGATTTAATCTGTAAAAGAGCTTAAACAATGATTTTGTAAGTATTAGACGTTAATGATACTGCTATTATATTGGAAATTGAAATTGGGTTCAGCTGAGCTTGGTTCAGGTCATTTGGGCTAAAGTTGCAGTAGTCTATTAAGATTTCATTCTTCTTTTATACCACTGACAGAAGGCTTCTAGCTAATTTCAGAAATGCCCGATTAATATCAGGGAATGGTAAGAATTTTGGTGATTCAGAGAAACATTAAAATAGCTGCCTGGTGAGTAGAGGGTATCCACATTTGGCATAAATAATACTGCCTCACTCTAGCAGTGCTGAGCCTCCACAAATAGCATGTTACCGAGTAATACGTTAGAAAATGGTTATAATAAACTTCACTAAGATCAATAATCAAGGTACTTTTACTCAGAAGCTGAACTAGCCTTATAAAAGAAGACTTATAGTAATATTTATTGCATTTTTACTCCAGACTCTTTCTCCTAGTGGTTATTGCAGTTTGTGTAACAAAGGGGGGATGCTGTACATCGATTTTACGACAGCACAGATATAGCTAAATGTTACATGCGGAATAGCGAAGAAACATAATAATCAGGGCTTCGTCTTCTTGACTGTCATTGTTTTCTCAATATGCTGGACAATTCCTGTAGTTAAGCTAAAAGTAACTACTTTCCACATAGAAATCTAAAAGGTGGCAAAGTTCAGTCTATTGAAATTACATTTGCTAATTTTGTTGTTCATACATCATATACTGAGTATAATTTTCAAGTTGGAGCATTATCTCATTTTGCAAGGCTTAGTCTTAATTGATTTTGTAAAAGAATGTACTGGAACTGAAAGTTTTATGCATTGTAAATTCCACTATTTTAAAATTGGTCAAAACTGAGCAGAAGGTAAATTTCTCACTGTAGCTATCTGATATCTCGAGAACCTTTGAGAAAAAATTGTCTCTATCATCCTTTGGTCTATTTTACAGCTAATACTCAGTTACAGAATTAGACATGACAATAAGACCTTTTCATAAGCCTGCTTCTGCGAATCACTTAAAATACCCTGTTTAGGAAAAGCAAGTCTGGGTTCATTTTGGGTTGTTACATACATATTTTATTCTCCTGTAAACCCCCTTATTTTATCCTACTGATAGGTAATTCAGCTGAACTTTCATCCTACAATTTCCTGGGGTCTGCCCTCTGATAGGTGGGCACAAAGAGAATGAGCATGGGTAACTTGGGGCATTGCTTGCATTTTTGGAGTCAGTGTAGGATTTGTATGCCTGAAAACTCGTGTGGGTACGTGAAGGGTCAATCAAATTTAAAAGCAGAAATAATACAAACAAAATGCACTTTCAAGATTAGCATCTTCATCCAGAGCACATCCCATTGCCTGATGTTTCTTGGTCGATAGCTTTGTTCTTCCCTTAGTACATCTGCTTTTCTTGCTCCCATTTACAGTATACCTTGGTTTGTTTTTATGCTCAATTAATAAGTTTTTTAAAAGGCTTTGGACAATAGAATTAAAAATGCAATATGGTTCTCAAACTCTAAAAATATAATGGTTTCAATAATTGAAATAATTTGTGCTTTGACTTGTACTGCTCTGTATTACAGATTTCTTTTTCTTCTCCCCTTTTCACACAGAGTATGATTTCTTCCATTGTGAACAGCACTTACTATGCAAATGTCTCAGCAGCAAAATGTCAGGAATTTGGAAGGTGGTATAAACATTTCAAGAAGGCAAAAGATATGATGGGTAAGCAAAAAAAAAAAAAAATTGCCATGATGGTGGATACATACCATTATGTGTCACATTGAGGTCTGTCACAGTCACATAAGAAGCCAGGTCCCTTCACAATAAGTTTAGGATGCTTTTGATGAGTAGATGTAGAAAGTACATATATAGTGAAAGAATTAATTTAAATAAATATTTGCTATTGAAACAGCCAAACTGACTTGGGTTGCCAGAGATGTAAAGCTGTCATTCTGTAAATCTAGAGATCTTCTACCGCCCAGAATAATTGTTGAAAAAACCTGTTCCTGGAACTGTGACGGACTGATTTTTTTAATGTATGTATTTTTTTCTTGCTCTGGCTAAAGTATATTTAAAGAAACAGGCTTCTATAACTATCACTGCCTTCCAACAAGAATGCTATAATTTTATAAATTCATATCTTTCTCTAACTTTGGGACCCTGATTTCAATTCATTTTAACAAATAGTTGTTATGACAATTGTTTGCTTGTTGTAGTAAGCACAAGTAAATTACTGGAGGAAAAAAATCCATCAGTGGGACATACTAATTCTGTAGTACCTTTTATCTGTCTGTATTGTCCCTTTTTAAAACTATTTCTTAAACCTGTTAACATAATTTTGAACACTTTATGTCAGAAGATTTCTGTGTAGTTCTCAACAGAATGAAGAAATGGGACCTCAATTTGGACTGAATTTTGAGCTTGACTTAGCTTTCAGTATTTGAAGCAAAATCATTCGTCTACCAAAACGGGTTCCTTGCCTTTTATAGCTTAAGGCTGTAATGAAGACAATGCATCACTTTTGTGATAATTGCTTGAATTACTATTCCAAGTGAATGGCCCACTTGGGTTGATCTCTACTTTCCGCTAGTGAAAAAAGGCAGCTTCTTCTCTTTATCTACTTTGTACCTTCTGTGCAACACTGAACTCTTCTTCTGAGACTACCGAAGTTGGTGGTAAGACTTGACTTGGTTTCAGGTGGTCCATGTGCGAGGCAGCAGAGCGTGTGCATGGAGGGGTGACCTTTCCGCAGTATCCTCTCCCACTTCCATTGCTGCAGCGCTCCTGAATGGGGCAACCCCTGAAAAATTTGCCTTGCGTCATCTACCAAGACAGGTTCACCATCCATTCATTCAAGGTCAATGAAACCAGTCCATAGGAAACGTGTGTATATGTGCATATTCCTGTGTAACCTAATGCTGGGGGGCGAGGCCGTGCTGCCCCCAGAGCCGCACAGACGAGGAGCTAATCCAGGCTATGGACACCAGACCTCTCTGCAGATCAACATGCCTTTTTTTTTTTTTTTTTTTTTTAATTTCTGCCTGTGATAGGACAGAGGGGGAAGGGCAGGGCTGTGGGTGGGAATCCAGGTACCCATTTCTTCTTCCAGCTCTCATCCCTGTGGAGGAAAGGATGGTCTTGCACTGAATGACTGTTAGTGAAGATCATAATTACTGTGAAAAGTTCAGACACTGCCTTTTTTTTTTACAAAATATGCTTTACTAGTATAAGAAAAAAACTGCTACAACACTTTTGTGAAGATACTGGGGTTTGGGTTTTTAAATAAAGCATATTTTCTTAAAGCTATTTCCAGACCAGCATTGCTAAAGCTCTAGAACTGAGATTGTTTAAAATGAAAAAGTGACATACGTTGATAAAAAGGAGACTCCTTTACATCAGCCTAGAGTTATTTTATATTGTCTTATGATGCACAAGAGGGGAGCTGGAAGAACTCTTGTAGTTTAGAAAACTGTGTTGTTAATTAAAAAGGAGGGTGTGTCAAGGCAGATGAGTTAATATAAGAAAAAAAATCAACCATGTTGCAAGTCACTGAAAAAAACCATGCATACATGGTTGCAAGATAAAGCAGCCCATCTGTGTAATTTACATAAATTATACTAGTTCCTAGCAGTCCTATACAATTGATGCAGCATCTAAAAATTAGCCAAGCATGGGGAGGTCCGCACCCCACCCTGCTTGTTACAGATTTCCAGTGGCTGGAAACTGCAGATGTTGTGGCGGGGACACCACGGGAGGAACAAAACCAGTCACGAGGGGCTTCTCTCTCTGGTTGGGGTGTGCTTTCCTGTAACAACCCTCCTTACCCTTTGTGCAGATGCACTTACCATTTCACCTGCATCTTCTGCAGCGCACAGAGTGGTTTCCTGTCTGTCGTTTTTGCCCCGTCTCTAGTTGCTTGCTGCCTTGCCTGAAATCCCCTGCATCTATCACTGCAGGGATGCGCTCCGCAGCCGCATGCTCGTGGTTCGGTTGCATTGCGCCTTTGCAAAACTCTCAGGAAGTTACTCCTTTGCCGTACGCGGTTTCCAGCACGTGATTTTTGCCTCTGGTGTTCTGCTCGTTCCTCCAAGGGCCCAGTGATGATGATGGGCAGTTTGTTGGATGTTTTTTTAAAAAATATTCACTACACCATTATTTGTAGGTAAATTTTGAAGGCAAATAGCCGCAACAGTGATGTTATGGGCCTGCTGATCTAGGCTGGAGAGTACAGTAAACTTGAACCTGAATGCACCATTTTACATTTACTTTTATTAGCACGTCTTGTGAGGAGCGTGAAGCATGTGATTTTCAGTCTTATGTTGGCTCTTTCAATGTTTCTTTTCCACTGTAGTTGAGATGGATAGCCTTTCTGAACTGTCCCAGCAAGGTGCCAACCACGTCAACTTCGGTCAGCAGCCGGTCCCAGGGAACACAGCCGAACAGCCTCCATCCCCTGTTCAGCTTTCTCATGGTAGTCAACCATCAGTTCGGACCCCGCTTCCAAACCTGCACCCTGGACTTGTATCTACTCCCATTAGCCCTCAGCTGGTAAATCAGCAGTTGGTAATGGCCCAGTTGCTGAACCAGCAGTATGCAGTGAACAGACTTCTAGCCCAGCAGTCCTTAAACCAACAGTACTTGAACCACCCTCCTCCTGTCAGTAGATCCATGAACAAGCCGTTGGAGCAGCAGGTCTCAACAAACACAGAGGTGTCTTCCGAAATCTACCAGTGGGTCCGTGACGAACTGAAACGAGCAGGAATCTCACAGGCAGTATTTGCACGTGTGGCTTTTAACCGAACTCAGGTCAGTTGTCTTTTTTCTTATTTTTTTTTTAAATCTAAGAGTCCCTTCTTTCTTTCTCTATTTAGTAATTATCACCTTTTAAGTCCCTCTCCTCATTTCTGCCTTGTCACTTAGCTCCTGTGAAGGAATGACGCTTCCTTGCAGGACCAGTGTCCATGTTGATAGAGTAAAGAAATCTTCAGTGATTGGTTTGTGGCAATACCCACTGTTCTTACAAACACCTTGGTTCCTCCCCAGTTGTGATGTTTTATGAATATCTTAAACATCTTCCCTGGAAAGGACATGAACAGCTCTGTGCAGAACCATTCACAAAGTCACCCAACAGATTGCCTTTTGTGTCGCAAAGGTATACCTGTACTGACCACATACATGCACTGAACAACCTGTCTTCTTTCACAGGTGTACCTGAGATGGTCTTTTATTTTTGCTTGCATTTATTTTTATTATTTCCTAGTGAAAATCTTAATAACATCTTTCCAGGTTTCTGAAAAAATTAAACAATAAAAGCTTTATTTTTAGATCATGTACTCTTTTCATGTATTTTTGTAGTTTGTTGCAAAAGCAGTAGTTGCTGAGATTTGCCAATGTCCACGTCAGAACATATACTTCAGCTCTTCAATGCAGAAAAAACTAGCCCTAGCAAAGCTGATAAGTAACACTAAAATGTGTTATTTTTTACACCTGTTTTAGAAGCTAACCCTGTTATAATTTATTCTGCTCTATGAATTTAACTTAATGCCATGTTGCATGGAATTTAATCAAGCAGAAATTATGGAAGAAATGTCAGTATATCCAATGCAAATAATAAGATCTCAAAATTTTAGAGGTCTGTTTTAACAGAAAATAATATAGGAATTTTTTTAAAAGGAAATATTTAAAAAATACGTAGGTGATTTTGCTTTGATTCCACATTTTTAAACTTAAGGAACAAGTATTTGTCCATTGTAGAATACAGTAAAAAAACAATTCATAATTTGGGCTTCTCTTGAAATGTTGACGTTTCTCCCTGCATAGCTTCGAGCATAAAAATTCTGTTTCAAATGCACTGGTACCGGGTTTGAATCAGCATGTCATTTGTAATTGTTCTGAATTATTATTGCCTTAAAATTTTTTACATCCTCCTTTAGCTGAAAGAAAGTATAGTCATGGTGTGAATTCTCTCTAGAGCTCTCTGTGTGTGTGCCTTTCCTCTTAACAGGAGAGGAGGTTTTCAAGATCTGGGTCTTTCATACCAAATTTCATGGGATACATGAACTCATGCAAGGATTACTTATGTAAGGTTCAGATAGTGTCAGTTGTTATATTTACAAATAAGTGACATAGAGTTTCGTTTAATACAATGTTTAATATTTTAACTATTGATGCTATAAAATATTGAAATAATAATAGTAGCTTCAAGTTACCGTGGCTTGCAGCTGCCATCTTACCTGGGCAAAAAGCCGAGCAAGTAGTTCAGAAAATAAATAGGTTATTAGACATTTACTTCTTCTCAGACTTGCCTAAAAGCAGCTTGTTTTCTCTCAGCTTCCTCCCCGCTCTGAAGTCATTTGTTCATTTTTTGTCAGCTAGTTTGCATAGAGCTTTTGGTCTCTCTTGTATTTGTTACCTGAAATACAAGGACAGTTGGTTCTGACTGGACATTGAATTTATATGACACAGTATAAGAAGATGCTCTTGAGATGTGATGAATGCAACTGTAGAACCAAGTTTCTAGTGCAAATTCTGATTCCTGATTACTATATATTTTTCTTGCTACTGTTGTGGTTTAATTCAGCATGCAGCTAAACACCACACAACTGTTTGCTCACTCCCCCCTGCAGTGGGATGGGGGAGAGAACTGGGAAAGAAAAAAAAAAAAGTAAGATTTGTGGGTTGAGATAAAGACAGTTTAACAGGACAGAAAAGGAAAGGAAAATAATAAAAATGATAAAAGAATATATCGCTCACCACCTGCTGGCCGGACCGAAGCCAGTTCCCCTGTGGCCCCCCGGCCAGCTTTCCCCTAGTTTATATACTGAGCATGACGCCATATGGTATGGAAACTTTGGCCAGTTTGGGTCAGCTGTCCTGGCTGTGCCCCCTCCCAGCTTCTTGTGTATCTCCAGCCTTCTCAGTTGGTAGAGTGTGAGAAGCTGAAAAGTCCTTGACTTAGTGTAAGCACTACTTAGCAACAACTAAAACATTACTCTCATACTAAATCCAAAACTGCACTATACCAGCTACTAGGAATAAAATTAACTCTATCCCAGCTGAAACCAGGACAACTACAAATGTTATTAAATATTTGTTTAAAGTTCAATTCTTCCACAGACGTTGTGGTTAACCAGCTTGGTAAAATGTGTTCAAAGTGACCCAAAACTGGGAGGAAACCCCAAAATGAACGTTGAAAACAAATCGTGTGAAGAGACATGAAATATATATGTAATATATTTTGGCAATTTTCAACCAAATCCACTTGAAAGAACACAGAACAGGATCCCTATATCCTACAAAATGGGTTAGCTAGTCAAATTAGTATTTGCAGTTAGCTACATAAGATTTTGAAGTATTTGATATGTATTGTGGCAAACATAGGGAACAGAAAAGAAAAATACTAGGAGCCTAGGCAATATTAGCTTCAATGTGGCCAAGAAATATCTCAGCATAATTTTAATATGAAGCAAAGCCCCATTGGAATCCAGCGGAGTTTGTTGTAGGCACATTTCACCTTTGCAAAACTGAAAATTTTTAATTGTACCCACAGTAACAGCTAATGTCCAATTATAAATGCAGGTAGAGATACCTGTGATTCTTATAAGAAAGCATTTAAATTTGTTTTGCTTGCTGTACTTCGGAATTTTTAGCAGATTATTCAAGGATATATCACATTTGACTTAAATTAGGGCAGCACTTTAATAACTGGTGATACTTAGATATTATTTTCTAATATTGAGGTAATATCTTTTGTCTTTTTTTTTTTTCCTTTAGCTAGAGCAAGTGAAAATGCTTGTTTAAATTCATCTACTGATTTCTGAGATAAAAAGCTAACTCAGGCTTACCACTGACATTTTTGAAATTGTCATAAGCATATTTGAGCCGTGTCCAGGGACCATATCATGCCATCAGTTTCTGAAGGCAGATCTCACTGAAATCGGTTAGGAGTTCTGCGCAAAAAACCCCGATGTTGAGATACAGTCTCTGATGAGGGAAGAGATTTGCTTTCAGCGTAAAAGTTAAGGAAGGAAGTGAACTATAAACTAAGAGTAATTTAGCTTAATTTTAGCTTTAGTTTTGGCAATAAAAATGGACTTTGATGGAATTGGCTGAAGATGTTGGCAGCTCTTGTTTTAGAGACCTGTGCTCTGCAATATGAATACAGAATTTGGGTGGAGGTTTTGGGTGGGAAGAGGGGGTTCTACCAGCTTAGTGTAGTAATTCAACACTTGGCCCTAGTTTCCAAGAATTTTTAATTTGGGGGAAAAATGTTGACTGGAAATATTTCTGCTTCCTTCCAGCCCAAAGGAAAGAATTTGGTAAAATTCTGAAAACTAGAGTGTCTTTTTTTTTTTTTTTTTTTAAATTATCGTTGATTTATAAGGCAGAAAAAAACCCTCAGAAAATTGAAAGGGTGTTCTTAATATCTTCTCGGGTAACTTCTCCCCTACCCTTAACTTCAAAATGGTAGTTTCAAAAATGTGTAGTTCTCAGGAATGTGCCTTGCAAAGTTTAATCAAAGAGGAATCCAGAAAGCTATAACTTGAATGAAAATTAGCGTCTATACAGGCACAATGGAACAATGGTTGTAGGGAGCAGAAGTGGTTTCGGAGAATGGAGCACCTCTCCCCATGAGAAGTTTCACAGTGGTCCTTCTAGGAAGGGCTTCAGAGCCCAGTGGGTCTGATGTGTTATTTGTCCTTCAGCAGTGGCGATTCCAGCTCACTGGCTGCAAAGAAACAGATTGAATCCTGTTAGCACCTCTTTGTAGTGCACCACGGAAAGGTTTGTTGAGTCAGGATTTGTGCTAGCAGATCCGAGTTTCACCTCAAGCACGGCTACCAAATGTGTGTACCATTCTCTATTTGCTAGGGTAATTTCAGTAAATTGAGCTGGTTATGTTTCCATTGCTGTTCGGCCAAATTAATAAACGTGGTATTTTTTCCAGCCGATGTCAGTGCACTGTGCAGACACCTCCTCTCTCTTGAAAGAGCGAGTTCAGTTTTTTCCTGCGCTTTGCTGGTCAGAAAATGGCATTTGTCATCAGCTCACTAGCCCAGGTGGCACCAAGCAGCTGTGGGGTGACGGTGCCGATGCATTGGGGCAGCCTGCAAAGCGCGATGCCCCGCGCCAGCCTCCGCCACAGCCTCCCCATCAGCAAAGAGGCTCAGCCTGCCCCTCCACATTTGCAGTTAAACTGGGAGGTTCTCTACTCCGTTTTGTTCTTCTTGAGAGAGCTGGAGTGGAGCATCGGCGTTTGTTTGGCTGAACCACCTTCGGAGCCCTAAACAAATAAACAAACTCCTCTACCATTTCTGTCGTGGGTTTGTAAACGTAAACATGAGTCAGGAAACGGAAAGCTTCGGTTCCCACAGGCAAGTCTGACATTTGACTTGAAGGCGTAGCTTAACCTGGTGCATGGCAGGGTGACATGTACGTACGAGCAAGGAATTGTGTTAGTCATGGTTGTGGTTGGAACTGTAACTCAGGGCTGCCTGTCTCTGTTTGTGTACACTTTCAACCATAACATTTGCTGCATGAACTCGGGTGCTGCTGTACGGAGGTGACCTCTCGGCTCCATCTTCGCGAAAGGAGGGGGAGTGCTTTTTGCTGCTTTTGCCATGTCTGACTATTGTAACTTTTCTTCTTCCCACCAGTGACAGTTTTTCATCTCAAGGTTTTTGAGTACTTCTCAGTGTTTCTGCCAGATACCTTTTCTCTCCCCCTCCTTTCTACTTCACCCCCATGCTTGTTTAAAATATTAGCTGCCAGGATGCATTGCCTTTCGTTCATGTATAATGCCTTTTCTCATATGTGAAAACTTCTGTGTATTTAGGATTGTGCTCATGCTAATTCTGGGCAATTGCTATTTCGAGGGAGAATGCATGGATGCAGTAAACGGCTCCATGTAATTTTAAAACAAAATCTAAGTTTACACAAACCACCTTCTCAGGCACTTTTTTTTTTCCTTCCACTTTGTCTTTGGCACACTTTATTTTCCAGTAAAATGAAAAATGAAGATGGATTATTCAAAATTGATAACAGTAATGGACCATCATGTACTGTTTTATTGAATTTGAGTTCTGTAAATTACGTGGTAGAGAGAAATTTGCCTGCTTAAGTATAACAGAAATTGCCACTGTATTCATATAATTCTTCGTAGTGTAATTTAAGAAAAAGCACACTATCCATATCACTATTGAATAAAAGGTAAAAAGGTGCTATTACACTATCATGACAGCTCTCCTCTTGCTACTAAGCGACATAGATAAATGTGTCTGCTTATAACTTACTTGGCAGGGATCCAGGCTTGTGGGTGGAGCTTGCAAAGAATCTCCCACCTGGACATGGGATGGGAGCACCCTGCAACACAGAGGGATAGCGTTCAGGGATGTTCTGCATGTTTTGGGGAGGTTTGGGCAAATTGCATTTTTCTTCTGGGAGCTTTGAAGTTCTATCAGGCTGATAAAATCTATTTGAATCAGTGATTACGTTCAAAGAGGAGACGAACTGGGGGCCAGACAGGCAGTGGTTTTGTTCGTATTGGCAGACACTTTCATTTATCTCCAGTTTTAAAGAATTCATAATTAGCTTTTGAAAGCCCTGATAATATTTATTGAACATTTTTGTTCAATTAGTAATGAATTATACTTGTGATGATGTGTAAACTTTCTTTTTTTCAATGAGACCTGGTAACACGTTAAGAAAACACATTTCCAGTGTGAAAAGAATACAAGGGAGGAACAGAGAGGAGGACTCTGAGCCTCGCAGTGTTTATAAGCTCTATGCAAAACAGCATTTAGCTTTTATGCAACCTGAGGTACAATATCAGGAGATCACACCAAGGCTTGTATCTAGGCAAACCAGTTCAAGCCTGGTAAAACAAACAGTAAATCTCTGCACGTCAGCATGGGGCAGGATGTGAGAGCTGATGTTTTCTTTCTAGGATTTTCCCATTTTACATTTTGTCTAACAATCTTTAGCTGAAGTTTGGTGCTCAGAAAATTGAAGCAGTAGCAATGAAGTAATATTTGAGGCAGGCAAACTGTATTGTAAGACTTTGCCTGCACCTGGTACTACACCTTTTTTTGATGTTATTTCCTCGCATATTCTGACCTTTAGGTTCAAAGCTCCTAGAAGCAAACACCTCCTCCTTGCCTTCTCCCCACTCTCATCTCCCCTCCTCTCTCCACATCTGTGTGCTCTGCTCTGCTCCCAGCTCATGCAAAGAGTCATGGCAGTGATGGGGGAAGGAGAAGGGAATGAATACTTAATGGCATTTCTAATCACCAAGAGGTGTCCTGCAGCAATGGTTATACTGACAAACCCAGGAAAAATACAAAAAACAGTTTTCTTTGTTTACTTATTTCTCTCAGGGGGGAGAAGTTATACAAGAAAAACAGCCTTTTCTGCTTTTTTTAGCTGCCCACTATGTGGCAAAGGCTTATACAAGCAAATATTTTCTATTATGGGCTAAAGTATTTTTCAAGGACATTTCCTGTGGCTGACAGTGGGCTGGCTGTTAGTAAGGAGTCCCCTCTCCTGCCAATGATCAGTCCACTTGAGTTTAGTTTTTCTTTCTACTTTTTAATCCTGGTGTGGTTGTTTTCAGCACAGTAGCGGTCAGAAATCACATGTTTTTACACCTCCATCATACATCCTGTGCTCTGCAGACAGCTTTGCCTTGTTTCCAGTGGCACAAAATCATTTTTTGTCTCCCTTGGAGGATGGGTTGTTTAACTCTACCACTGACAAACAATAGTAACTGTGGGTTTTAATACTTAGAAGTAGAAAAAAAATGATAGACAAGAATTTAATTTCCATATTTGCTAATAAGTAAATTTATTATTAGCCTAATCACTAAGAAAACTTTTAAAATTTATACTCCACTGAAATGCCACTTTTGTCTGTAACTCATTTATTTACCTTCTGAGTGGTTTCTACCTGCATACCAGAAAAGAGGAGGGATGAAGAATAGTGGTAAGAAAGTACCCCTCTGGATTATTTTTTTTAAATCCTCCCCCAAATTATTTTTCGTGCTTAGTGCTGGAAAGACTGTTTTTATTTTCCATCCCATTTCCCTCTTCTGTGTGCAGGCACAGACAGGGCCACAAGGACCACGCTGGCTCCAGTGTAGTGGCTTGCACCTCCATCCTCATCATCCCTGAGAGATGGAGGGGCAATGGAGCAAATGCAGAGCTCAGAGCTGCGCTGGGTGGGCTCTGACACTGCCTAAGCACAGCTGCCTGAGAGCAGTGGCTCTGCTACAGCACCTTCATGGGGTGCTTTTGCCCGATAGGATAGGACCTTTGGGAGATGTGGCAACTTCCATAGGTGCTGTGAGCATCAGACTTCCCTACAGAGGTGGCAGGAGCTGATGCTTGGGCCATACCTTTCTGTAGGACTCCCTTAGGAATGTATAACTTCAGTCAGGATTGCCTCTCTCAGTTTTAGCTGTTTTATTGCCTTCCCCCCTCTTCCCCATTCACCCTTCCATTATCCCAAATAACATAACAACAGATCTTTAGGAAAAGAAACACTGGGTTGTGTTATTTCTTTAAAATCACATCCATGTTCCCCTGTTACACTAGCAATAAAAGCCTCTCATACCAACCCTCTCCTTGTCCCAGCGTGGCAACAACATTTATTCGAAAAAGAAGTTCACGTTTGCTTTTGCAAAAGTTAGTTTTCTTATCACTGCCTTGTTACTTCAAGACAGTAGAGCATTTTGTATGCCTGACATATTTAAAAGGAGAATTTGTCGGGGGGGAGATTTCAAGAACCTGTTGACATTAAAGTTCTAGTTGCACTCACAGGTTCATAAGTATTTGATCTTTTAGGTGCCCCAGACTGCCAGGCCTGCTCCTTTGCTGAGAACCGAGGTGAAATGATTATGTAGGAAACCTGGTGTGGTCTGTACAAGCTGCTGGTGGCATGCTATCATCTCCAGCCTGCCCATCTCTGGCTCACTGCTACGGATGCCCTGTATGCTGTTTTCCTCTCATTCCTCAGTGCTCGCTTTTATCTGTCATTGCTGGACTCTGAAAGTGGTCAAAGGACAACAGTGGTAAATGGACTTAGGAAATGGGACCTGCACAGCAGGTGCTCACATAAATAGCCCAGGCAATGGACTGGGTGAGGATTAGTGTTGTCCTGGTGAAGAGATGGGAATGGTGGGAGGAGGAGAAGGGCAAAGGAGGGGGAGCATCCAACAGTTATGTTGTTAAACTCCAATATACAACTCTCAAAACAAAATATTGACTTATGGAAAATATGGACCTGAGTCAGTTAAGCAGTACTTTAGGAACATTGTGAGTTTATAATCTCAGATTAGTTGTGAAATATCACTTCCTTTCAAAAAGCTGTTTACGTTGCTAGAAATGTGGAAAGCCATTTCTTTAGGTTGGCTGTGCGTTTTGTCTGGGAAGCCTGAGAACACCCCAGTGTCATGCCTCTGGACTATCTGTATTTCACTTATTCTTAACGTCTTGTGATTGGCGACTGTGAAAGATTTCATGGCAAGTTAAGCCAGTAAAAAGAAGGAGACCTATTAGGCAGATTCAGTTTATGTTCTATGTAAAACAGATGCTTAATAAAATTACGGGTACAATTGAGGCTCTCTTCTCTGCTACCTAAATTGCCAGTAATATATTCCTGTGTGGAGTGAGTAGTGCATTTGCTGCTCTCGTTCTCAGCCCAGTGGAAAGAAGAAAGAGGACCGATAAGCAGTGGCTTTGCAGAGCACGGTGTTACAGGCGTTCACCTAGGCTAACTCTCCAGCATATTTTTTTCCTTCCTCCCTACAGGGCTTGCTCTCAGAAATCCTCCGAAAGGAAGAGGATCCCAAGACTGCCTCGCAGTCCTTACTGGTAAACCTTCGGGCTATGCAGAACTTCTTGCAGCTGCCAGAAGCCGAACGAGATCGAATTTACCAGGACGAAAGGGAAAGGAGCTTGAACGCAGCCTCTGCAATGGGCCCCGCACCTCTCATAAGCACACCGCCTAGCCGGCCTCCACAAGTAAACCACTCTGTCTGTCTCCTACATTTGCTCGTTGTGCTTTCTCACTGTCCTGCTGGGTGATACCTTTCTTAAAAAGAAGAAAGCTTTTACTGTTGCATTTTTTAAATGCTCATAGAGTCACTGTTTGCAGTGCATATCACAAATTAAATTTAAGAAATATAATGGATGATAGTAGCAGTTTATTACTACCTATTTTCTAGTTTTAAGATAAATTCTATCCACTATGGCTCCTACAGAGTTTTTTGCTCATTTTATTGAGATACGAGCTTTACTGGGCCTGGAACATGCTGGCTTTTAGCTGTCTTTTTCTCCTATAATTCTCAGATGTTGTTTTCAATGTTAGAGGTTCAAATAGGGATTTTGAAGGATTTGGACCACTAAACTGATTGGGAATGAAAACAGAAATACGAGTACATCGTATTGCCTTAAAAATTATCTTCCAGAAAATGAACAGATAAAACTAAAGGGATAGGGAAAAGAAGACCCCATCCCAAAATTCTGGGCACACTTTCACCAGATTGAGCTACTGACAACTGGATAACACAACGGACTTGCCATATCCATCACTCTGAAAGACTGGGATATCCTCATTAAAGCTTCATTTAGTATTTGTTCAAATTAAACTCCTATTGAGTTCTGTAAATATAGTGGGACTATTGGTTTCACTCTCAAAATTATAAAAGTTAGATAGAGTGGGATCCGGCAATTCAATGTAGTCCTTGTGTCTGTCAAGGAAACTTGCATGCTGGTTTTAGGGTACGTGAGAAGTATAGGTGTGAGCCATAGGAATGCATAGGATTTCCACAAAGAAGAAACGCAGTTGTGAATGAAACGCTCCAAAAAACAGCGTATCTTTTTCTGAAATACTCTACATTGCTGTGGCTCAAGATTGTACCTATGCAAGGACAAAACAACTGATGATATGTGGGAATCGTGCAGTATGCACAGTCCAGATTTGCTATACAAAGCAAGGCTTTGGGATTGTGGGAATTTTGTGATGGCTGAGTATATAAACACAGAGCAGTTTTTTACTAACCAGGCTCAGGCATGTGCCTATGACTATATTCCGTACCCATTCTGAACGCTATAAATTCCTTCAAGTTATTTTTCTAATTTTCCTGCAGCTAATGGATGCTAAGGACCACACTGATGTAACGAATAACAAAATTGTAGGAAAAGGGAGGACAGAAGATCGCTTTGACCTGCTGCAGTACTTTTCACAAGATGAGAAAACATTTTTAGCAGAAAGAACAGACTGTGCTAATGGTCTAGTTTTGTTATCATTAACTGAGTTTAGTCTGCGAAATCCACTACCGATACTTTTCAAGATAAAGGACAAGAATCTATTTACATAGTAATGCTGTAGTGGGAAATAGTTAAATATAGATAATGGTGTTTAAAATAACATTTGAGTTTGTTTTAATATCTGTACCTGCTCCCACAACCCAGGTAATTCAGAGCAAAGGCTAACCCTCCTTCCTAACTTATCTCTTTCTGCTAAGGTAATGTCTCACACTGTCTCAAGTGGTCTTGGGCAATTTCACAGCTAAAGAACAGAGTTAATTACAGGACTTTGCAGAAGGATGTCAAGTCAGAGGTAGTCCTTGTATTGGTTTTAATTCACACTGTAAACTGTATAAATCCCTTGCAGCCAGAAAGAAAGTGAGACTTAGGGGTTTTCTTAACTGACAAAACATACTGTAAGTCCAAATTTAGGGGTCAGGATCTACCTGTCTCTACTCTGCTCTTGTTCATGATTACATTGCATTTTTCTACTGGGAGTCAGAAGTATAGTTAACCTAATCGCAACAGTTCAAAGTAGAAACAGCATACTGTTTTGTTTTGATCCTTTTCAAAAGGAAAACAGGTTAACAAGGAAACCTTATAGACTAATATTTGAGGTCTACAGAACAAAACAGTTCTTTTTCTAGTTGTTATATTGTTGTCTGTCATTCAGCAAAACATATGCGCTTTACCTAGTGGATGGACTGAGGATGTAGAAACCTCTGAGTTGGGATTCTGTGCGACCTTTTTACATGTTGCCAGAATTACCCACCTATAAACACGTGTAGCACTTGCCACCTGCTACTAAGTGTGAGTCCTAAGTTTGAAAATTGAAATATCTGTGTTGGTAACATAGGTACAATAATTAATGCTAGAAATAATAATGAAATTATTCTAGTTGTTGCACTGGCAAGTATAACTACAAATCATAGCAGAAAGAAATTATAGTCAGGCTACTGCAAAATTATTAATGCAAACTACTACTCTGATACCCCCCCAAATGTCCACAGTTTATTGAATATTTGATACTAAGGAAATAAAACCACTAGCGTCCTTACTACTAAATTTATTACAAGAAATTATTTAAAGTTCAGGAATACAGCATAATATTTTTCTAGCTTAGCTGTGAGCTTCTTGGATAGCTATTGAAAGACAAAACAGACCGTTTATCTTGACAACAGAATTTACGCAAGAGCCAACATATTTAATATTAAATCTTTAGACCAGTGTAAAATTTGAAACAATTAAACTATGAAACCATGAAAAATGAGAGCTAATATGCCACACATGAAGGTTTATTTTGCAATTGCAAGTTATCAGTTTCGGAAGGATGTGAAAATAAACATCCTGAAAAGGATCTATTTTGCATTTTTGTGTTGCCAACTGGTGGCCAGACAGTAGAGCAGACTTAACCATTTAGAAGCTGAGCTTGTTCTGTGTGAATTTTGCGTACTGTTGCATGCAAAAACAGAAAGCGTGACCCTGGAGGTCCGATAGGAGAGTAGGAACTCACCAAACATAAACCCTGGTGCCTGAGTTAGAAAAAACTGTGTTGAGTTTATCTCATTTTTACAGCATTCTTACTAGTTGCTACTTGAGCTGATGTATCTGGATTGTTTCCAATTCTTTTCTGAATCCTTTAAGAAGCTCTTTGTCCCCATTACTTCTCCCTTTCTCTCTGACTTGGACAAAAAAGCAAAATCTTACTTTTTTTTTTTTAATTGAAATCATTAGCCTCTAATGCATGAGCTTTTGGGACACATGTATAGCCCTCTAAGCTGGTCAAGTTCTAAAAGTTTGCTACTATCTTCCATACTGGCGGACTGAGCGCAAGGAGACGGCATACACAAGAATTTTTCCCTTGGATGTTGTTCATCTTGCCACCTCCTGGGGCAGAAGCCTGTCTGTCAGGCTCTTTCCTGGGGCAGTGGAGTGAGTTTATAAATATTAGCATCTCCATCAGGTAGGTACTGCATGGAGACACAGTTTAACCTCTCCAACCTAGAAGGAAGAAAAAAGAGGTCCTTTCTTGTTCTATTTCTGTTACTAATTTTTCTTTTCCCTCTTCAACACCTTCATCTTGCAGCTCACCCCATAGAGGTTCTTTCTGGGTATCTCTAAGTCCAGTTCAGATGATGAGTCTATCACACATTGTTGGGAATGAGAGGATGTGGGATACTTCAGAGGATGCTGAGTGTGGAGCTATGTTCACGGTGGATGGAGTTCCCCAGGGAGGTGCGAGGGATGGCCTCTCCCTCTCATCGGGGCAGTTCGGGGTGTGGGGGGAGGAGGACTCCCTCCTCCTTAGTACAGCCTGGGGGGAGGATGGAGACAGGTGACAAAGTAACAGATTATCTTTTCAAAAATATTCTAGTTAAAGCTTGTTAGCTCTCCTGCAGTTATGAACACTTCCTTCTCGGGACAAGTAATCTCCATTTCAGGAGAGCTGAGGAAGAAATCGTTCTCACCACCCATATTCCCCAAAGAAAATTTTTGCTAACTCTTGGGGCCCGTCATCATCCTGTGTAAAAACAGAGTACGTGTAATGTCAAGAGCAGAATATAATTTTAACAAGGCAGTGTTTTAAGAAGTATCCACAAATCTTGCATGAGTCATGGTTCTGGGTACTCAATTGACAAAAACCTTCATTTTCATAAATATAATCCTGGCCTCTCTCTGACTACAAATAAATTACGGTTCCTTCATGCTAAAGCAAATTCAGCTTGGGTCCCAGAGATAGGATGTCACTCTTGAAAGACTGGTCTTGAAGAGGACACTGCTTTGCTGGTGTTTGAGGACCAGTGAACCTCCATTGTAAGGAGCTCTGGATAACACCAGCTCCTGTGAAACCTGACAGTGGAGCCCTGAAGTTCAAACACATGTACACACCATACGTCACCACCAGCAAAATTTTTATTTTTAAGTCTGCAAAATTTGAGATTTAGGTTGATAGTCTGTATGCCAAGTTGCATTTTAATGAAAGTCAAAATGAACAAAATAAGAAATGCATCCCTCTCGCCCCCCCGTGAAAACCACCATGGAGGAGAGTTAATGGAAACCCTGACACTTAACTATAACTGCACTTCCAGGCGCCACTGTAATAATGGAGTAGTAAACCTTGTCCTGATAAAAGCTGTTCTGAAAGCAATAGCATTTATTGTACCTCCTGTGCTATTTGCAGAGCAGAACTGAAAAGTAGTTTGTTTTGCCTGGAATGAACTACTTTATGAATTTTAATGTACGATGTAATATTAAAAGCTAAACCAGGATTAAAGAAGATTTTTGTTCCCAAGCTAAAACAGTACTTATGAGAATGTGTTATAAAAGATTTTTTTTGTTTCAGTTTCGATGGGGAAGAAATGAGCTTCCACGTTTGTGAAAACCTCTTCAGATTGGTTATTCTTTCTATAACAACCTGTCCTTTGTTTAGGAAAATTGAATTAATCCAGAACTTCATGCTACTGTAATCAGTCTTCCTTGATGAGAAGATATATATCTGGGCAGGCCAGGAGGGGATGGATGTGTTGTTGTTTTTTTTTTTTTTTCAAATCTTTCTAAATGACTGCATTGATTGGTGATAGGAAGATGGCCAAACAAGTTTCTGATTCTCACTGTGTTATGTTTGTAAAATAATGCTTCCCTGTTCAGTTAGTGTTTGCAAAATTTCGTTACTGTAAAAAGCTGATGTATGGTTTCTTTCCTAAACAGAAAATGTGGCTGTAAGTGTGGGTGGGGTGAGAGGTTGTGCTTAAGTGTGGATGAGATGAGAGATTATGTTTTGTTTTGTTTTTCTCTCCAAAATGAATACTTTTTCCACCTCCTCTCCCAAGTCCTGAAGTTGCACTGTTGGGGGCTTTTTTGTTTTCTGTTGGTTTTTTTTGAGGAGGAGGGTGTTTTTTCAACCCAGCTTCAAACAGCCTCTGTCTTGAACTCAATTCTAAATTCAACACACCAGCCTAGATGCTTGCTATGTATAAATTATGAAACGGTTTTATGTATGGATATTCTCCAAGAGGTTAATTAGCATTATTGCATGGAATTCATCAGACCAGAGCAGACCAATGGTCCATCTAGTCCAGCCACAGTCTATACTTGATCTTTGAAGAGAAATTGTTAAGAGGCGGGGGAAGAACTTTTATGCTTGGCCAATGATGTAAATTGTAGAGGGAGAGGATATGGCTGTGAACAACATCTCTTGATAATCCCCAAACCCATCATTTTATGACTTTAAGACTTGCATTCTCCTGAAGCTCTTTGGGCTAATATGGCATTTTGATGCAGATATTAGTGTTTTCTGTTGTTCACTTCCTGATGCAGTATCAATAGACGGCAATAGAAGTGTTTTGCTTTGTTTTGTTTTTAACTTCAGTGACATATTAGATGCCGTTGAGTTTGTTGTACCTGTGTAAAGATAGATGTGATTTGCCAACCAGAATGAAGATTTTCAGTAATTCCTCTGGGTTAGGGGTATATCCATATTAAATTGGGCATTGAAAAGTGTGGACCAAGATGCATAATTTAAATTATGTCTCCAATGTGGTGTGTGAGTCTTGGTTTTTGATGATCTGGGTGTTCACAGCTCAGTTAAGTGGTCTATGAAGTGCTGCTACAACATGAAGATGTCTTTTGAAGCTGAGTAGCAATCAAAAAGACAGTGTGCTTACAGAAAAGAGGCATTTCGATCAGGATCCCAAGAGCAGTGTTTGTTTCCCAAAAGATACCATGGACTTGTGTATGCTAGGTGAATACCTTTATCTTCTCATCCTCCCCTCAGGACCCTCAAAGATTAGTTACAAGTTAGAAATATTTCTTTGGGAAGGACTGAAATAACATTGCCAAAATTTAAACCCAAGGTCCAAGAAAGTGTGTTGACAAAGCCATCACTTTTTCATTTTCTGATTTAGCTTAGCCTGATTTTTACATGCAAGCAGAGAAGCCTGTCTCCTGTTGTATATTTAACGTCCCCATGGGTTGTCAGTTACCTTTTAGTGAATCCTTTTCATTTAAAGGTTATAAAATTGCCACTGATTTTGTAATTTTCAAATGATTTCACTGTATGGTGTTCAGGAGATGCACCTGCTTTTGCGGCCCCCTGCTGCTTTGCCCAGCGTGAAGCCTGCGTTTTCCCGCTCTGTGATGCAAAGAAGGGAGGTCTGTGGTGCTGCTCCTCACGCTGCCCACTGCCAGGTGCCTCAAATGTTTCTGAGCAGCCGTTGGCCCAGGCTTGGCCATCCTCTACTGCAGTGTCGCTTGTAAAATGTCACACTGCAGAAAAGAAAACGCCTCACTCTCCAGGTCATGCCTGCAAAATACCAGTTGTTTTCAGATGAAAGCAAATCATGGGATAAACTGTATGCCACATTTTGGGATTTTTCTTCACTTCCCTTTTCATTTAAGACTCCTGTTTTCAAACACCAGAAAGTGCTAATGCGGGCCAGAAGGAGGCAGGTGGAAATGTGTGTGGACGCCTCGTTCTTGCTGGGGTTTCGCCCCTTGCAGCTAACGGGCATGTGTTAGCACAGCTCCTGAAAAGCCTGATAGACAAATCAGGCTCAGCAAAAGTGGCATGCACTCCCAGTTTCTGGGCTAGATTATTTTATCTTAAAAGCACTACGGAGGATAGTTAACACAAATTGAGCGTGACATTTCTAGGAAAAAATTGGCTGATGATTTGCCTAAGTACGTCTCTCACCCAAACCCTTTGACTCTTATATTGTGAGACCTGTGACATATGAAAGCTCATAGAGAGTGAGATTAGAAGATGAATTATCATGCTGTCATGATTTCTCTTTGAACCTCAAGGGACTTTAGAGCACAGGAAGATGCTGACTTGCCCTGGATTAAACTGATAGTGAAAGTGTGGTTTTAGACACATACTTAAGAGTAGGCTGAATCACCCTCTGGAAGTGCCAAGCTCTGTCCATTAGATTTAGAGGTAGCCTGAGTGACTAACTCAGACTAGACATGTAACTTCTGAATGGCTAAATAAATTCAGCTCTCAACAACCTCAGTATGAACCAGTAGCTTTGAATCGAAATCTAAAGGTTTGATTTTGCATCATCACCTTCTTCTTGGTGATGTTCTTGGCAGAAATCCAGTCTTTCCTTTCCTCTGGTCCGCTTCAGGATTAGTGGTCCATTAGGTCCACTAATCTTGGGCAAGCATTGCAAGAGTAGCTGCTAAAGAAAGACATGATCCTTAACTATTGAGAATAGTAAGCTGAGTACTTGCTGATTTTTTTGTACCTCTCAACTGATATTGCAGAAACTGCACCGTAACCTGGGTGGGATGATGGTGTTGAAACATCACTTCCATCATTTCCAGAGGATGAAGGAAAGGATAGTCTTCTGCACATCATGTCACTACTGATGTATTTTTTGTTGTTTTCCTTAATGCTGCAGATGCAGCATAGAGATGGTAGTGTAATCATTCTGTCTTGTTTTCATGTTATTTTTTTTAACCTGGACTGCAAGAAGAATAAATATTTGATGTATGTAAGTGAAATACAACTGGAATTAATAGTTTTAAGAAAACCCTATCTTGATTTCATGAATGAATGAGTCATTAAAATATGCTTTATTATAAATTATCACTTTCTTAAAAGCATCTTAAGAATTAAACTGATAAGATAGTATTTTAAAAAGTTAAATCTAAAGCCACAACTTTTCTACGTTATCATGCATTTAAGTGTACTGGACATAAGGCATGAATCAAGATATATCTGTCAGTTTTCTATTTCATTAGAGATTGTTTTATGCTGCACTTACAATTTTCACTTCATTTGCGTGGGGCAAAGAAATCATGTAAGGATTCACGAGTCTCTACAACACTGTTTGACAGGTTTCCACCTAATTTGTTTTATGACATTGAAATTCACAGTGGTCAGTTAATGATAACTCGTATTTCAGATGCATTCACCTGTTACAGTATGCTGAATTTTCTTGTTTCCCAGTTGCCTGAACCACGGATAACTTATAATGTTAAGTCTCTGAAAAGCTGAAAGAATATCAGAGCAAGATTGAATAAAAGGAATAAAATGGAAAGGGGAACTACTTGGGGA